ACACACACACACACACACACACACACACACACACACACACACACACACACACACACACACACACACACACACACACACACACACACACATATATATATACATTTGAACTTATTGGGTTCTCAAGCAATTCCCATCCTACTGTACTATATGTTACCTTTCTATTGATAGGTTTTCTTTTATGGCGTTTTCGTATTTTCAATCGAAACCTCTCACTTTTAAATGATCATCTTACTTCATCCTGGAGGTTCTAATCATACTGTGTTATCTTCCTATCGACAAATGTGTCGTTTATTGCATGTTTATGTCTAGCTTTCCATCCACTATCTCATTTAAGGATATCCAATTAACTCCGTGTTCCGTTCTATCGAGCGGTTCTCATTCCTTGAATGACACGACCATCATCCAGGCATAACTAATCCTACTATGTGTTTCCATTATTACGACGATTTTTTGGTCATCTATCGCATATGCTTCACCTTTATGCAGCATATCCAGTATGGCGTCTCATTCACTGGACTTCCATCCACCTTCTTCATCCGAACATACCTCATACAGCTTCTCATTGACCGGATTTTTGTCCCATGTAACTCCCTCATGCAGGCATCCCCAGTATGGCTTCGTTCAAGCTATGGGAAGAAGAAATCCTCAGCGAGTCCGATAGCTGTGAACTGGACGGGCGTGTGTTGGCGAGTATCGGGAGTGTTATACTCAGCGAAGTGCCAGAACTGGATGAGATTATCGCTCGCAGAAGCTTTGCACGCACGAATAGTCTTCCGATGGAACTCGAAGAGGGACAGGAGGAAGGTGAGGGTATATCCGTGTTCGTGTATTCAGGTTCGTGTGTATGAGTATGTACATGCATAGCTATAGATATGATGGAGCTTCACAAGCACAAATAGTTTTAAAGACATGTAGGGGAATAGTCACAGTTGGACGAAGGAATGTGTGCTATGTCTTTATACGTATGCATGAGTGTTTATGTACCTGTGTTCTGAAAATAGTCCTGTTTTCGGATGTGCATTGGACTCATATATCATCACTTTTTTTTTGTATTGTACACACACGCAGACATCATCATTCATTCGAAAGAGCGTACATATATTGATCTATATACTACCATATATCCGCTGCATCCAGAGCACTTAGACACTTTATCATGCATTCGAAAAAGTGTACATACATTGATCTATATACCACCATATATCCGCTGCATCCAGAGCACTTAAACACTTCATCATTCATTCGAAAGAGTGTACATACATTGATCTATATACTACCATATATCCGCTGCATCCAGAGCACTTAGACACTTCATCATGCATTCGAAGAGTGTACATACATTGATCTATATACTACCATATATCCGCTGCATCCAGAGCAATTAGACACTTCATCATGCATTCGAAAGAGTGTACATACATTGATCTATATACTACCATATATCCGCTGCATCCAGAGCACTTAGACACTTCATCATTCATTCGAAAGAGTGTACATACATTGATCTATATACTACCATATATTCACTGCATCCAGAGCACGTGCAACGCCGTGTTGCACCCACATACCGCCGGTCTGGAAGTTTGGCAGGCCATCACGTCGGTGCCAACGGACGGCTGCACACGATCATGCAGGCAGATATGAGGCACAGTGCTTCTGGCAAGACAAGTGGGGTACATGCGTACACACAACGCGGGCGAAACACGTTTGTGGCAGGTGGGTGTTTAGTCTGGTTAGGTACGAGTGCTGTGGTCTTTTGTGCGTGGGTGTTGTTGTTATATATATATATATATATATGCACGAGGTATGTGGGATGTATACGCTGCCTGAGACTTGTGTAGGGTTGATAGGACCTTGGGTGCGTTTAATTCACGGTGGTGTTCGGACGTAGAATGCTTCGGTGCACTCTGCTACTGGGTTCTCGCCTTAGTTTCGTATGACGGGGCGTACCTTCTTGCACGAACCCTACAAGCAGCGTAATCAGTTGCACGATCGGGTGTTGGAGCTGTTGCTGACTGAGCGTGGTACAGAAGCCCATGCCTCGAGATGCAGTGTCAGTCGTTCGTGACAGACGGGTGCCGGAGCCTCAGCGTATGGCAGCTAACTCGCATCGTGTGGATGTACTGGTGTTTGTTGTTGGTGATCGGGTTTGGTACAGGGTGCGTGTGAAGCAGCATACTCTGGCTACACGCTATGCATGGCGAGCTCAGATTGTTGAAGTGATTTCGCCTGTACGGTACAAGGTTGAAGCTACGCCATGGGTCATTCGGCCTTATATGGTCGATGAGCTTAAGGGCACATGTTCCAGGCATCGGCATGCCGCCTCCGGTGAAGCAGAAGGCGGATAGGTGCAAGCCGTATGGGGTTCACGAGCCCTAACTGTTGTGTAGATCTCCTTTGACGGAGGTGTCTCCTGACTATCCTCAGCAGTTTGGTCATCGGTTGCGACGTACGCAATCTGCTGGGATTTAGGCGGATGCGAAGAGTTCTGTTTGGGGCTGATGGGAAAGTTTGGTGCGATGCAGACAGCGTTGCTCCAGACCTTCCTTTTGCGTCGGCTCCATTCAAATGCTTATACTTGTATGGGGGATCATGTGACGATTCTTTTAAAGTGGTTCCATTGTAGCAGTCACGTGACTTGTATTGTACGCACAGAATCAACTGCTTGCGGTTTTCGCGGGGTGCGACATATCACAACAAGATATTGTGGGTTGGGGGCATGCTTCCGTTGACGTTGGATGGGACGGAGATTCCGCGACGATAGCTTGGCGGCGTAGTTTAGTTGTGCGGCATAGCTCACATGTAGGTTAGAACTTCACCTGGCTGACTGTCAGAGGGAGATTACGGCTCACGTCTCACGCCTCTCGCCTCTGTGGACATGTTTCAGTATTGCACATGGGTACACTGATGAACATGTCCACTTTATGGGGACGATTTGGCAGAGCTGTGGTCATTGGGGGGGGGGGGGATGTTGTAACATGTGTATGGTCCACGTGTAGTGATGAGTCATGCGGGGCTCTGGGTTTGAGAAGTGTGTGCTCTGACGCATGATGGGTTAGGTTTGGAATGGAATGGAATATCAGTGTTGTGTGCCATGTGGTATGGGGATTATGTATACCAGACATTGGTGCATATTTACCAAATCAACCTGAACATGAACTGAGTGATAGCGTTAGCTGTTAAGTAGTGAAGAATAGTAGATGGCCAGCAACGGTCTACAGAGGAGAGTGGGAACTGGCGGACACATAGATATACCGTGCCAGCACCCAGAGGGGGCTATCGGTAGACATAACTACTGATTATGATTATATGAGTTAATTATGAGATGATATCGTCATGTGCTAAAGCACTACTTTGACGATATATAGTATACAGCTGTGTCATTGTGCACCGTTCGTAAACTTAATAAACTACTCACAATATATATATATATATATATATACATATATATATATATAATATATATTATATATATATGTATTAT